CAGCGTCAATACTTAATTGGATATTTCCTTCTATACTTTTTAGCACGTAGCTATTTATTATTAGCATTATTTTTCTGACGTCTGATTTCTTTTTAATTATAGGAAATGCGTTTTTCTAAGGTATATAAACTTTTGGGATTGATTGTATAGCCAATACATCCTTAAATTTATGGAATAGTTCAGTTGAACATCCGCGTTAGTAGCCTGTAACGCCGATGACTAATTTTTGTTTAAAGAGGTGATTCGTTGTCGCAACCATACAAACAAATACATGTATACGTATACACACATGTAGGTTAAATTTATTAATATAGGGCAATTTTTCATAGGGTTTTATAAAAAGTTAAAGCGAGGATCAGTCGTGATTTAGGTGACATGTCGAGCGTTAAGAACGCTGGATCGTTGCGAAAAATTCGCGTTACGATGCAGCTATCTATTAATTTTATCGACCGTTCGGTGATACGGTGCACCGCACCCGGCCAGTCAGAGCGATCGTATACGTATATAAAGCACGGGATCGTTCAAGTCGGGCTGAAAATACCGGGAGCGGTCGTTCTGGCGGTAGTCAGCGGCAGTGACCTGATTTTAATTTCACGCGTGTTCGATAGCAGTCACCGCTTAGATGAGATCTCGGAGCGAGAGGAGACACCTTTTCCTCTCGGTGAACGCGGCGCTGCGCTTACATCGACTTGCTGCACTCGCTGCGCCTTCTCTTCTATCGCTACCATCGTTTAATCGCAGCTGTTCGCCAACCCGGAATGTAAAGCGACTCTTCGTTTTTCGCAGCGCTGCACCTAATCTAGTTCAAACATTTTTCCTTTTTTCTTTTCCCCTCTATCCGAGAATATCAACCGGGATTTTGCACCGTTAAATATAGGTGTCGAGTTGTCTATTGAAATTGCACAGAAATAAGAACGAAATTATCCGTACTTTTGGCCGATTCGTTCCCTCTGAGAGCCCGATGGGACTCTCCTCCTCCTCTAGCTGCTATGTAATTTGTACGAACAAAAGGTGCCGTGGGTCGAATGAGAGCTAACGTTTAAAGAACGACGTGTGCAGACGTTAGAAAAAGGAACGCGAGAAAGAAAGTCCTAACGAGGGCTTCGAGCTGGCGGTA